TTCTTTTTCATCCTAGTTTCCACTGGCTCACTTGCTCAGCAGTATGCCCACCCTAATGCTACCCTGCATCCGCATCCTCCTCATCCTCAGCCTTCTGCCACACCGACTGGCCAGCAGCAAAGCCAACATGCTGGAAGCCACCCTGCTCCCAGCCCCGTGCAGGTAACGGGCTCAAACGGGACCGAACGGATTGAAATGGGGTTTAATTGTGTTCAGATGATTGCTCTGCTGGAAGGGATTGGCGGCTTGATGTTAATGTGGTGATTTTTGTTTTTTTTTTTTTGAGAGGGGGGAAAAAGGGTTGGATGGAGCAGTTCAGAGTCCTCCCAGATGGGGTGTAGCTTGATCCGTGTTGGGATTAAGGAATGGTCATGGTTATGTCCGTGCTTTGATGTGAGTGGAGTGGAAATAGTAGATAAATGCTGTTAAGTGTTTGGTTGTATTTTGTCAAAGACAAGCAGCTGAAAACAAAATGGTCCTTGTGGTAGTGCTGCTTTCCTTAATTCCTACTGGGAATAACTGGGCAGCTGTGAGGCACATGCAGTTCCATGGCTGCAGGTTCTCCTTGCTTTTACCTGGCAGTCTGGGTTCTCTTTGCCAGACTCTTGCTCACAGGTCTTCCTAGAGCAAGGAGAATCCCAGAATCACAGGATTGTTTGGGTTGGAAAAAAACCTCTGAGACCATCAAGTCCAACCATTAACCCAGCACTGCCAAGTCCACCACTGAACCATATCCCTGAGTGCCACATCCACTCAACGTCCACATTTTTAATAATCCTCCTTAAAAATGAGAGGGTTTTGTGCTCAGCAGTTCTCTGGAGTGATGCAGGACCCATGTCCTCTGACAGCCTCAGTATTAACTGCAAGTCTTGAAGACGACCCTCACCCACTCTGAGATCACTGGTTTTTCTCAAGACTAACTCCCTTGAATACCTTATGAATCAACCAGAAAACTCACGTCTCGTTTCCCCTGAAACAGTTTTTTAAATTAATAATTATTAACTGTTCTAAATCAGCGCTTCCTGTTTTCATTTGAGCCCTTCCAACCCGAGTGATCCAACCGGAGAACAGAGAACCAGCTCTGTCCTGAGCACCAGGCTGGGGGAGGAGGGAGCTCTGCACTTGCACAACGTGGCACATCCAAACTCTGAGTTTGATGAGCCTGGTGGGATTGGAATGAGCTCCCTCACGCCCAGAGGTGTGGTTTCCTCAGGACCA